CTTATAAGGGGAAGGGAGAGTGCGGCCCTCGAAATTCGTCTCTTTTTTTATAATGAAATTGAAAAAAACTATCATTTTCATAAAATAAGGCAGGGAATTTGCCACACTCTGAAATGAATAAGCGGGAGTTCATTCATCTTTGTTTGCCAAGCAGACAGGCAAAACTTTCGACTGAAAAGGACAGTTATTGAACTTTGAGCATTTTCCCTTCCGTTTTAATTTGCTGTGTAGTGTGAATCTTGCCCTACCAGGGCTACCACAGATCTAGAAAATGGCCAGGGAAGGAAATTTCAAGGTCAAGGAAAAGTCAGTGAAATTAAAGTCTTTACACTACTGAGTTTCATACCAGGCTGGAAGAAATATTTCAGATCTCAACAATGTCTTAATGAAGAAGGCAAAAACTGCTGTTGAAAGGCTGAAAGGGCAGGCTAGACATTTTGTATCTATTTGGTCAAGAAAATTTTATTTTTATCGTGGATAGGTGAGGGTAGGTCAGTGCCTTGAGAGTCAGGGAATTTTGGAAACTTTTGTTTGTGGCAACCCTGCCTACCCTCTGTGTGTCTCTCTTCATATTAAATAGTAAGAGCTGTTTTCAGTAACTCAGTGTCAAATTCTATGGTATATTTTTCTGTAATAATAACTAATTATTATCATTGGCTTTCCATTGTTAGTCTTTGACCTAAGCTACAAAGTCTCAAGGTCAATTTTTTGACCAATTGGAGGTAAAACTAATTATAACTTGCTTGCACATCTAAAAATAAACAAAGCTGAAACTTGGTGGGTTACCTTCGGAACCCATCTGTTCTGGTGAGTTGTTTTCTGAATTCGCAGGGACAAGTCCCATCATATGAAACCGCCATTCTTGCTTCAAAATCTAATGGCAGAGACGAAACTTTGGTCCCTGTGACTAGTCCCACAAATTCAAACCAGTTTGAATTTTTGGGACAGGTCCCTGCGACTTGTTCCTTAAAACGCTTCGTGTGAACTGTTCGTAGGACAAGTCCCTGCGACCAGTCCGTTCGTGTGAACTCTTAAGGGGACTAGTTGCAGGGACTAGTCCCCACGTGTGGGCCGACCTTTAGGAATAAGTGCAGCATTGCACACCTTCTTCACACTAGTGCCATGGTGCACATGTAAACA